AAAAAAAATTGTAGGATGCACAAGAAGATCTTAAATCAATTACCTTCTATCTCAAGGAAGAAAAAGAGTAAGCAGAAGAAAAATAATAAAGATCAGAGTAGAAATCAATAAAATAAAAAGCGTAAGACAATAGAGAAAATCAAGGACAACAAAAGCTCCATAATTGGGAAGATAAATGGAACTGATTAATCTCTAGCTAGTTATATAAGGAGACAAACCTCCCATGCAGAAGAATTTAACATAATTTATGTAGGTGCTCCCGCTCAAGGAGGTGGAATAGAACTCCTCTTCCCTAAGTGTGGGCTGCACAGTGACCTCCTCCTGAAGAGCACAGGATGAAAAACCATCTCAGCCTGGTGATCAGGGTCAGTCAGCATTCACGGTGATGAGCCGCATTCGCGGTTTGCACCCTGGATTCCGTGTGATGAGAAGGGCATGTTACTTCTGTGGTCTTTCTCCTCAAAGCTTATAACCCCACACTAATCATGAGAAAAACATCAGACAAAACCCAGCTGGGGCATTCTATAAAATATCTGACCAGTACTCCTCAAAACTGTCCAGACCTTAGAAAAACAAGAAAAAAGCCTGAGAAACTGTCACAGTCAGAAGGAGCCTAACGTGATATAACAACCAAATGTTATGTGGTGTCCTGAACAGAGCCTGAGAACAGAGAAAGCATCATCCAACAGAAATAAACAGGAGACACATACATAATTTACAGTTTTCTAGTAACAATATTAAAAAAGTAAAAAAATAAAACACACTGGCGAAATTTTAATATTATTTTATTTAAGCTAACATATACAAAATAGCACTTCAACATGTAGCTGTATGAAAAAATATTGAGCTATCTTACATTCTTTTTTCATACTAAATATTTGGAATTTGCAGTGTGTTTTACACTTATAGCACATCTCAATTCAGAATAGGCACAATTCAAGTGCTCAACAGCCACCTGTGATGGACAGGCAGCTCTAAACAAATAGCTATGATTTAACGTTGACAACAATTGAAAACTACTATAGTCATAGTGATGACTCTTGGTTAATTGCAGGCTAATCCATAGATACCGCTTTTTCGGACAAGTTTCATTTTGTGGTTAAAATGACAACGACAAAAAAAGAGTAGCAGCTTTGTTCTGATTCTCTATGTATAGTCATTTGTCTGGATTCTTCTCCCTGCACACTGTACCTATGGGAGACTGTCGACACCATGGGCTGAAATAAAAATTTCTCCACTCAAGCACAGAGCCTGATAGATGCTTAAGTTTTTAAAAAAGAAACTGGGAGGAAAAATTTGCAAATCCCTTACATGATAAAAGACTTATATCCAGATACATAAACAATTCTCAAAACTCTGTAAGAAAACAACCCAATAAAAACATCAGCAAATATTTTAACAGACACAATTTCATGGCAGATAAGCACATGAAAACACACCCAATGTCATTAGACACCAGAGAGATGGCACCACACACCTGTGAGTACCTCCTGTGTGGAGAGGGCACTCTGGGAAGCGCGGACAAGCATGGGCAGCAACTAGAGACAGTGACACACTCTGACCACAGTGGCCTGTCTCTGAACACCTCAGCCATAAACCTACCATAGATGGTCTAGCCGTTCCCTCTCCTAGTCACCAAATAACGGCATTTACTCAGAGAAAGAAGCTTACACACCTGTTCATAGCAGCTCTCTTTGTAACACCAGAAACAATGTGAATGGCAATTGTAGGTGAATGTGTTTTCTTGTGCCACAGGAGGTAAAGCTCTTAATTTTTTTTTCAAATGGTTTGCCCAAAGCCGTTTCCCCCAAAGCATCTGTTGAGTAATCAGTTCACATATCTCTGAAGTGAACCTTCACAGACTCTAAGGACCCATGACAAACATCAGCTTTTGGATACTTTGTTCTAGTCCACTGATGTTTCTGTTGTGTCCTACCACTTCATACATAGTAGCATTTTCTTTTTTGATATATGATTTGACAAATTTCTGTGTCTTTTTCTATTCTTCTTTTTCAGAAACAAAAAAAAATGAGGGGAAAAAAAGGAAACTTCCTAGACATTCTGAACTGTACCTATATCCACAGTCAGAAGGAAATAAGAGAATCATGGACTAGTTAGGAATTAAGGACATAGAAAAGCACCCCACGAAAGCCTGTGATATAACTCAAGTTAATGCAGAGAACGATTCCGTCAGAAGCACAAGAAAAAAATTCCATTAGCATTCAATTCAGGAAAAAATAAACCAAACAAGGAAGAGGAAAAGCATTAAATACAGAACAGTAAATTACAAAAAAAGCAAAAAATGGCATCTATACATAGTAAAATGGTAATATCAAGAGATAATTCTTGAAAGACATAAGCTATAATTCCACTGGTAAAAGTGATCAGGAAGGAAAAAGAAAACACGAATATGTAATATTAGGAATGAAAGGGTTATAATTCAAATAGAAGTATTTCAGGCATCAGTATAAAAATTAATGCCAACAAATCTGAAAGCCTAAATGAAAACATGATTTTCTAGAAAAAAAACGAGCTTGGAATTCAGAAATCTGAGTCTCATAAGCAAAGTAGAAAAGCAAATGGTTGTTTATAACCCACCCACCAAAAAGTGTCAGTGAGCCAGTATGGTTGAAACTGAGCAGAGTCACGGGAAGTGATCTTCCAAAAGGCGGCCAGAGCGCACCTTCTAGGTGCTCTCTAGGCACCCTTCCTACCACGTCCAAGTCCAATAGACCTGAGCGACTCAGCCTGAGTCACCAACACAGAACTGACCAATTCTGCTTTCACATTTGAGCTGCACTCACTTATTTCCACACACCTGTAAATACCACTATTTCTGAATTCTAAATTCCTACATGCCACTCTGCACCCCTTGTCCACTTAAATGCACATAACAGGGTGGTGCATCCTCTTGCTCACCGAGGCCCAGCCAGGTATGCTCAGCTTATACAAGTCTTCCGGGATGACTGGGGTAGGAGGCTCGTCTTCACTGCTTGTGGCCATAGCGTTCATACACAGCATTCCCAGCCACAAGGAGTCATGCTCACCACAGGTCACTAAACCAACCACCAGCTCTGCTGCACACGTGACCCCCAGATGCTATACTTTCTGGTAACACTCTTCATGTAGACTTTGTGCCTTGTGACTCCCCTTGAGTATGACCATGGTTATTTGATAAAAGTGCTTTCTTCCTAGTAAGTGGGGTTTTCATGATGCCTGTACCATTCTGTCCTATGAAGCCACAGGACAAGGGAGAATCACGATGCCATGAGTTCTGCTGGTGACATACATGTACACAAGAAGGAGAGATGGCACTCTTCCCTCTTCAGTCAAGCCTATCAACCCAACAGGACTTGTGGGAGACAAGTTCTATCTGGGGATGAACTGAGCCTGCAGCCACAGTACCTGACCTTCCTGGGCAGTAAAAGGCACCCTCACTGGCAGGAAAGCTAAGCTGGACTCACGTGAGCTGCCCAGGGCAAAGGCTCCCCTCCACCAGGATCACAGAGCTCTCTTTATGAAGAAACTGCTAAGGGCCTGACCCAATGCAGTCATCTCTGATCTTTACAACCACCCTGGAAGGTTAGCACAATCATTCTCTGGATGAAGCAGCAGCCCTCCCAGGGCCACACCAGGATATAGGTCTCCAGAGACGACTCCCTACTGCCTGCTATGAGCTCTCCCACTTCACTCACCAAGTGGGAGCCCCGACTCATCACTGATGATGATGGCTCTGGGCCAGGCCTGCCCATTCATGCGACGCCTCCAGTGGGGTCTGGAATGAGTTCTGGCAGGGCCATGTCAATTGAGACAGCGTGCTCGGGCTCTGCTGCCCCCCCTCCCCGGGGGCACCCTCTCAGACAGTGCCTCCATAACTTGCAAACCATGCCTGAGTACTTGACAAGCTCCTGGGCTCTGACAGAGTCTCAGTCCCCAAATCTGGATCAGCATTTTTCAGAGTGGGTTCTACTGAGGACTGGAGGAGAAAGGCCTTTTAAAAAAAAAACAGACAGACTCCAAGGTCAAAAATCTTCGGGACATCTCTCTGGGAAATACAGGTGGCCCCTGTTTTCAAAAGTCTGTGTCATATCACTCAGGCGTTACAAAAGACCTCCATCAGTACCCATTCCAAGAGGATTTCGCTTTATGAAGAGAGGCAGGAAACACACAGAAGGCCCAGCACTGGATCTGCAGCAGTGGAGTGGCAGGGACGGTAGTTCCCACACCCTCTGGGGACATGCTAGCACCTCGGCACCCAGTGCCCTCTGGGGACATGCTGGCACCTTGGCGCCCAGTGCCCTACGGGGACACGCTGGCACCTCGGCGCCCAGTGCCCTCTGGGGACACGCTGGCACCTCGGCACCCAGTGCCCTCTGGGGACACACTCGCATCTCAGTGCCCAGCTGCCAGAGCCTTTATCCAGGCTTTCTCTTGATTTTGTGCCTCTGTTGGCAGCATGTGTCCTCAGGAAAGCCTGAGGAAGGTGACTTTGGGGTCTGGGAGCGTGCAAACACTCCTCTACGGGAGCCCATGGCAATGCTCCTTCACCTACTCCATTCGGGCATGCCAAAGTTTGCCTACAAGTGTCCACTTTGGGATGGTGGGGGAACCTGTACACATCATCAGTTTTGGGAAACTTCCAGTAGAGATACTGCTTCAAATTTCCAATTTTACAGATTTTTAAACTAAAACTGGTACCATAAAAAGTTCTGGCCTTCACCACAGATTTCACCTTTGCAGAGCCAGCACCAGAACTGCTCCTCTGGTTTTAAAGGGCCTCGGATGGGAACCTAAGACAGCTAAAAGGGGGGGGGGGCAGTACCCCTCTGGCCACGCCCTGAGGGCTGCCAGGTTTCATGCCAGTCCACATGCCAGGTTTCATGGACGGCACAGCTCATGCACTGGCGTGACAAACTCCTGACAAACTGCCAGCCTGGCCTGCGAGCCTAGAGGGTGACCTCACTGTCTTCACAGAGTAGTCAAGGAAGAGCCGATACATCTGAAAGATAATTGCTTTTAATTCTATAAGTTTCACTTATGCAACACCATAAAGGCAGATTTATGTGACTTGATATGACATTTTTACAAAAAACAGTTTCCCCCACATCTGGTCAGTAGTATATAAATATTTACAATGAAAAAATAGGCAAGGAAAAAGGAAATCTTCATTATTCAAGTCAGTTTCTTTCCAATGCTTATCAGAATTTGAAAATAAAATAGTTCATTAACTTTGTAGTCGTCCCTATTTACATATCACTTCAGCCAACAGATCAAGAAATGGAGGCTTCTGGGTCTTCTGTTCATGACCCCTATGTAGGCTCTACACTAATTTTAGAAGTTATCGGAAAGAGTAAATTAAATATAAAAATGTAAACTTTGAAAGAAAGATAAACGTGTAAAGGTTCTTACAGAGGTTAATATTTTACACACTACAAACCAAAATAAAATGCTCTATATATTTTCTTAGAAGGGACATTCTGTTTCAATTTAATTTGATTATATAACAAAAACTGCCTCTAAGGAGGATGTTAAAAAAATAGCAATGACATTACCATCTTAACTGATGAACATCCATTCGCTCTAATTTCCTCTAAAAGCAACTGTGATTTCTTAAAAAATGACAAATATAAATTATATCATGGAGAGCTTATGAAGCCTCAACAAAGTGTGGTATCTCTTAAATATGAAGACTTTAAAAAATAAATTTGAATAGTGCAAACCAGCCTATTTAACTTAGTGATATTACAAATATATTCAACTTTCCAATGTATAAAAACATGACTTTGATTCTATCAGACGCCATGCCATTGAAAACACTGAAGTACTTGTGGGCAGGAACAGTAGGCGTCTGTAGCATGCCAGTGGCCTTGAGGATTTAAATGTGAATGTTTATGTCTCATAATGCAAGTAGTAGCGTCCATAGATCCCTGTGAGGACACAGAAGGGTTCACGTGTGGGAGCCGCGCCGCCCTCGAGAGCCCAGAGACACTCGGAGCCTTGGCTCTCTGGCTTCGTAATGCTCATTAAAGTCCAACCTGAAGCTAAGAAACCGAAGACTTTCATCAGAGCTGGTTGTCAGCAACACCAGAAACTGCTGCACGATGCCCTAAGAACAAAAAAAAGGAGTATCCACTTTAAAGGGGAGCTATCCACAGAACATAACAGCCCCCCCGTGCCACTGCAGCCTCATTTGGGGTGGTTTTTCCTCCCAGATCAACAATCTTGCAGCAACACCCCCACCACAGCAGACATCCCAAGGAAGGAAAGCCAGTCTGGGAACCCGAGTTTCACAGCCATGTTAGGAAGAGATAACCACATCCACAAATACAAATGCACAATCAATACATTTTATTTAAAAGAATTAACCAATAGATTTTTCCTTTTGCCCTAAGTTCTATATGAATAAGCAAAACAGCAAAGCTTCTGATGTTAAGAAGCTTATTCTTTTCATTTTAAATTTAAAACCCAGTGTTACACACTCCCTCTTTCACCTGAGTTATGAAAGAGCACCGAATCGTGGAGCCCTCAAGGGAAAACAGGATGAACATGAGAGACAAGGGATTATGACTGAAGTTTACTCAAACTTTCAAATAACAAAAACTGGCTGCTTCTCTGCAGGGCTGAGTTGCTTAGGAGCACAAACCCCATCCCTGCCAGGCTCCTGAGCCACAGCCAGCAGATGTGTGTCTGTCCGATGTAGGTGACGTGGGTCTCCACGCTTGCACACCTGGGAAAGGCCCCCTGCAGAGAAGTCACCACTGAAACACCAATCCCACCAGTCTTTTCAAACCCTAACAGCATCTCTGTCCCTCCCCAGTCCCTTCCCATGCTCCCGCAGATTCAGGAATGTCACACAAGGGAACTCACACCTGAGCAAGCACACAGTCGGAGGCCATGGACACCCCTTTGTCTTTCTGGGAGACCGAAATCTTAGGATACAGTCCCTCTCCTAAGAATGCTACTACCAAAAGTATAGGTGGTGGCTTCTTGTCAGGAGCTGTGAGGGACACTTCTGTCCTTGGGTTGAGGATTCCAGGTGAGACTGCTCCTGAGCAGTGGGGCATGGCACTGCTAACACCCTGTTGTTTCAGGCACCAATAATTCAAAAGAGAACAGAAAAGGGCTTTTTCTGTTAAGCAAAAGAAATCCTAATAGCCATGATTTAGAAAGAAGATTATAATCTGAGTAAAACTGGGATTATACAGATTAAGATTACTTTTCAAAAACGTATGAAGTCTCCCAGGAAATGTGTATCCATTCCTATCTCTTTCAGAAATGAGCACAGCAACACACATTTTTAAGTTACAGATAACTGCATTACAGATATACTATCTTCACCAACGGTTTGGAACTAACCATTTTAAAAAGAAATGTGAATTCAAGTGGTGTAGGTATTTCATTATCCAAACACCCATTCGGTGAAGGTATTTTTGCACTGAGCATAACCTCATCTTTGCCACCATTTAGGGAACATATTTTCAACAAACGTGCCCTGGTCACTAATGTGAGAGTAAGCCCATCTGCAAAGGGACAAAGTCCTCCCCAGCTCACATTATGCTGAAGACAGCTACAAAAGTATGAGGACCCTGGGAAGCAAACCAGATGCCTATGGAACACAGAGGTTGCTTCATTTTAAATCATGAACCACATGGAGACATTAGCACACAGAAACAGAATTTTTAAACATTTCAACGTCAATGCTTGTCTTTCTAATTAGTTACCAGCAACCAAATGTAAAACTTCTTCATAAAACCTTTTCACCTTTATCTCTATCACTAAAATCACACTGAGAAACAGATGGACTCAGAAACCAAACCACAACATAGAAATAAAAAGCAGAGCACACAGACTCTGTATATCCGCTTTTCTCACAGCCTCCTGGGTCTGTGGCCCTGAGTTAAGCACCTGCTGCCTCGTGCTCCCCGCACGGCAGTTCCCCGCACACCTATGCACTTCCCGTCTCACCTCAAGCTCCCACAGGGTTCTGGGGCTGCAGAGCTCAGCCCCTACAGGGCTCCCACTCGCTGCTGACAACACCAAAACCACTCCAGGCCAGCACCCTTAGCCCAGGACCTCCACGAAGGTCACAGCCAAAACTGGGCCCCACTGAGGGTGGTGTGTGGACCAAAAGGACTCTGAGTGAATCATTTGACCGCAGTGCTCATTTGCAGAAAAAGAACAATATGAGTGGGACACTGTTCTGTCACTCCAATGCGCACCTGGTAGAAATGTGTCAAAATCCGCAGCTGTGAGCACATTTTCGGTATAGATTCTCGAAATTCTTGAATCCTCTTATTCTCCTCCTCCTCCTCTGCTGCTGTCACTCCCCACCGGCCCTGAAGAATCAGAAGGACCAGGAAAGTAAAATCGGGGTACAAGAAGCTCCCAGGGTAGGACTGGGCTGGAAGGTGAAGGTAGGGAAATGTATGTTTTCTACGCCCTTTGTGTTGCTAAACACCTTCACCATAATCTGTTGATGCCCAATCGCACTCTTGCTTACTTTTTCCAATCACTAAGATACCTTGGAAATATTTTATATCAATACATATGAGCACCCAGAGAACTTGCTCCTTGTTTTTAGTAACTACAGGACTCCATTACAGAATTGTAACACTTGCAATAATTTGTCACAAAATAACCAGTCTTTAGTTACTGAAAGCAATGTCTTGTATCTTTCCATCATTGTTGACACAATCACAGACCTTGGAACCAGATAGTTCAAAGTCCTAGAGCCAATTAACCCTTCACTTTGGTGGGAAGGCTTCTGGCTATTTCTCCTAAGCATGGTGGATCTTTTTATTTTGGAAACAGATCTACTTCTATTTTTAAAAGATTGTTCTTAATGAATGGTGAGTCTAACTAAATGCTTTTCAGCTAGCCTATATAGGAATTAGAGTACGATTCTTGTCTTTTTATCAATGGGGTTATTCCGTTGTGATGATAAAACTTTAATTTCTTTTACTATTCTCTATGTTACCTTCTGGGAGCTTTAGCATTTTAACTTCCATGTTCAGCCCATGTCATGGTGCTTGGCATGTGTGAGGCAGGGTTGAAATATAGCCACCCAGCACCACTTATCGATGTTCCATTCCCCACTGTTCCATTAAGAACTAATGATCTCAATGTGTAGGGCTGTCTCTGGACGTTATTCTACTCCCCTGATTGTCCTTGCTTGAGCCAACACCATTCTTCTCATTGATGAAATTTTATTAAGTCTCGAGGATGTCTCGAGTTGAGTATATGTATATTCAACTATAAATGTATTCTTGTTCAAAACTCTCTTCACTGCATGCTACACCTTTCCACATAAATTTTAGAATTTATTGTTTTCTACAAAAAATAAAAAAAAAATTATACCCACCAAAAAAAAAAAAAAACTGTTGGGGATTAGAACTGGGATTGCACTGAATCAATCAGTTCTCCAATTCACAAACACAGTATACTCCTTGACTTATTGAGGGGCTCATTACTATCTCTTGTGATGCAGTGATAAGCAAGCTTTCTTTGTAAGGGCCAGAGGAGCACATACGTTGGGGTTTGTGGGCCACCTGGTCTATGTTTTTACTCCGGTCTACCACTAGAGCACACGAGCAACCACAGACAACACAGAAATCACTGGCATGGCTGCTCCAATAAAACTCCAACTACAGAAACACAGAGGGGGCCAGGCCGGGCCTGCAGACCCTTGGTTGTCAAGCCCTGTTTTATCGTTTTCTGTACAAAGATCTTCCATGTATATTTTTTATTACATTATAATGCTCTTTTAAAGATATTTTTAAAATTTATTTCATTTGTGGTTGATTAGAAATATAATTGATTTTTGTATACTGACCTTGTTTCCTGTTACTTTGATAAATTCATTTATTAACCCCAGCTAACTTATCTAAAGATTATTTTGGATTTTCTATGTCCACAACCATGACACCGAACCCTCTCACCAAAAAAAAAAAAAAAAAAAAAAAAAAGACAGCCTGCTTACATGTTTGCACTTTGTATTCTTTTGTCTTGGTTTATAATATTGATAGACCATCACTGTCACACTAAATGAAGAGCTGATGGTTCTGGGTCTCACTCCCAGGACTGCACCATTAAGCATGAGGTTTGGACTCAGATATTTCAAGCAAACCTTCTTTCAGATTTTCCTTAGAATCAAATGATCTCTATCTATTGAGATGATTGTGCAATTTTCTCCTTTAGACTGTAAATATGGTGAATTTCAATATTTTCATCAGAATGACACACAAACTTTGTACTTCTAGGACAAACAGAAACTTGTTTGTAATGTCCTACCCTTTGATACATCATAACTTGGTGACACTGCCTTTGGGCTTCATGACACAGACCAGTACAGAACAGAAAGCAAAAAGGCCAGGCTTGTCTAAATGCTTTGTTTCATCAATTTGACCTTAGAACCAAATAACTATTTTACAAAATTAAATTCAATTTTGTTTTATAAGTTAAAAGCAAAAACAAAACCAATTAATCTGTGTACTGAGCTGGGGGCATAACCTCATGGGAGTAATTATGTCAAGTGCATTACAACTTGGATTCTGATGTGTAAAACTAGCATGTGTCCTTCTCAGTAACTACTGTTGCTACCCTGCTGGGGTCAGTACCAGCATGTATGTGGAGACAGCTGTGTGCACATCTGTGTATGCTGGGGAGTTGGGGGGGGGGGGCTATCAGATAGCAAGTAACAGTCTGCTGATGTTAGAAACCAGGATTTACAATGTAGAAGATAAACAAAGAAAAGAAAGTCCCTTTAATCCTAAACTTGAATTGGAAATACCATTATGAACATGGGGGAACAGAGGAAAGGAAGCACAGAACCAGGGGGAGGTGGGTGGCCCACTAGGGACAGAAGCAGGAGGCAGGCTCCTCACAGAGCTCGCAGGGCGCGGGGGCTCGGGGCGGAGTCCCTCTTGCACAGTCTCTTTTTAACACTGCAACAGTCTAAATGGTTGCTTCGTCAATCATTTTGCCCACTGAATTTAAATAATTTCTTACAGTTCCAGTTTTAACTGTCCTACAGTATCCCAAATCACATCTGAATAAAACACACTGAATAATCATGACTCATTGTGTAGATCTGTTCCACTCTAGCACTGACAGTTTATAGTCTGGAGAGAGAAACATCAACTCCCATATCACTGGCCGCCCTGCTATTATGAGGGTGAAACTCCCAAGGACTGATTTTTGTAGATTTTATATAGTTTAGTAATCCTCCAGAAGGGCAGATTCTCTGGGGCTGTGTGAAGCTCTGGAAATCAGAGCAGTGACTAGGTTTTACTGAATGCTTCCCAAATGATAACTAACATATCCTACACATGTCTATGGGGTTTTCCTTAGGTCCACTCCCATTTTACAAAGAAGGAAACCTGTCTTAGGATAGTCAAGCCCCCCAAAAGCATAATGCTGGTGAGCATGGTTGGGATGGGGTCTTCGGCAGGCCTGGCACCTTGGCATGCTCACACAGAGGCCAGGCAGCATTTCAGGGTCACACACATACCCACTCTTGGTGAAAAATGGAGCAAGCCCTCCTTCTGTTTCAAAAAACCCTGAAGAGACAGTATACACTCTAAGGGGGTTGAGAGCTTTCTTTTTTTTTTTTCTTTTTCTTTTTTTTTTTGGTTGAGAGCTTTCTAAGCTGAAAAGATCCTCACACAAATTTTAAGGGAACATTTAAAAACAAAACTAACCAAATTGTGCTATCGAAAAAAATCTGACACCTCCCTGGGGCGCTTGGGTGGTACAATCAGCTAAGTGTCTGACTCTTGATTTTGGCTCAGGTCATGATCTCAAGGTTTTGAGATCGAGCCCCACATTGGGCTCTGCACTGGTGGGCAGTCCACTTGGATTCTATCTCCCTGTAACCCCAAAATAATAAGTAAATAAAACCTTTTAAAAATTTGTCACCATCCCAAGAATAAGCAACTTGGGAAAGAAAAAATTACAGAGATGACACCAAATATAAGAAAGTCTATAATGAGCAACCTTGTTCAGTAAATCTTCACAACCCAAGGTCATAGAGGACATAATAACATCCTTTACTAAGGTCACTGGAGGTCGCTGCAAGTGCACAGCTCTGGTTCCTACATGTCCATGTGTGTCCACCAGCTAGAGGTGACCAGGTATACAGAGCCAAAACCACTCCAAAGAGACAGCAGCGCCCATAGGCTATCAGGATTCTTGTGCACGCAGTCCTTATGCTCACAAAGGGATGACAGTGAGGATGACCACTCTGCCTGGAACAGGGTCTCCTCAGGACTCTAAATGCGGGTGTGAACACGGTCTCCAGGAACATTTCAGCAGGAAAATTATTTGTTGTATTTGCGATTGTAGTGGCAATGAACTCATTTATATTAAAACTATAAACCCACTGGTAGAAAAGCCATACCTCAATCTCATGCTGTTTCTTTTTCTCTTCAAACTGTAATCGTCTCTGTAGCTCTTCCAGGGCAGCTCTGTATATTGCATCCTGAGTGTTCTGAAGTTCAATGATTTGATCAAACACAGCTCTAAGTTGATTTAAAAGTGCCTGAGAATAGGAGACAAGGTTTTTTTCTTTTTATGATGAGAACTCCAACATGCTAATTACTAAGTTTTTCATAAAGACATTGGTAATTAGTAAGGAGAGAGTCTGTAAAACAAGTCATCGACTCACACTCCCAAAGTGCTCTTTGCCCGTCTACTCTCGTTTACTGAGTGCCCTGTGGTATGCGCTCGCTGCACTAGGTCCTCCCCAGCTCGAGGCTCCACACATGCTTCACAGCCCCTTGCACCGTCAGAGCAGGCTCACAAACCATGGTGCAGCCCCAGATCACACAGCTGGTGTCAAGCAGAGGTCTCAGGAGTGCAGTGACTCCAAGGTCAGAAAGGAATAGGAAAGCAAGTCCATCCTATTCACTTTTTGGTGCCAAATACACCAAGGCCAGACACAGACAATATGAGAAAGGAGATTCTTAATCAAATAAAAAAAAAAAAAAAAAAAAAAAAACAAATTCAGCACAGTTTTTCAAAAACAGTTCACAGAAGGAAAGGATGGTTTAACAATGGAAACACATCACTGTCACTGGCTCACTGTCCACATGTGCTGCACAGTGCCATACCTGAGCATCAGTCATCGTTTAGTTTTGTTTTCTCCCAGCATGGCATGGAAAGAGGGCAACAGAAAGAGATCTATACAAAAATCACTTATGTAAATCAAAACACATCCATTCAAAACACCAGATATATATCCGAGGAGGACTAGCAAACAAAGACAAGTGCACCAATGGTAGCGATAAGGCTAAGACAAAGCCCAGCAAACACAAGGGGTCTTTCATGGATGACAACAGTGCACCACAACTGAAGGGGAGGGTTACAGACTTAAAATTGAACAAGAAGGCTTTGGTCCTGAGGTAGAAACTCCCAGTCATTATTTTACTTTGTCTTTAATCCCTGCCCTAGTTTCTGTTTCTTGTCCCAGACATCTACCATTGAGATTCTTTTTGATTCTCACATCATTGTTCTGAGAGTTCTCGGCTCTATCCTCTGCCAGCTTAGATTTAAGAAAAAAAAAAAAAAACCCATTAACAATTTGAGAAGAAAAGATAATTTTAAAATCACAGAAAAAAAAGTCACATGTTAAAACTTAACAGCCACTCATGATTTATATAAACTATCTAAACACACTAGAACTACAAAGACCCTCCTTAATTTGATAAAGATCCTATGAGATCTGCAGGCAAACATCATAGTGAATGATGAAAGAATAAAACATCTCTTTAATATTGGGGACAAGATAAAGAGTCCTACCCATGCTCCTCAGGGACCCAGCTAACACCTCAAAGCAAGGAAAGGCAGAAAGCAGACCCTCTGGAAAGAAAGAAACAAAATTGGTTTTCCTTGTAAAAATAAAATTTAAGCAGATCTAGAAACTCTTGGGATTTAAAAAAAAAAATGGATAAAAGATAAAAGTAATGAAACAAATAGCAGGCCTCCAGACCAGCCAAATACCATAAATGTAGTAATAACCTACAAAAGATCTGCAAGATGTTATGGGAGAAAGATGACATGACTTTATTGAGAAGCACAAGGGAGATGGAGTAGCAGGAGGGGTGCCAAGTTCACAGACATGAAGCAGCAAAGAAGCTGACCTGGTGCAAACGAGCACCCTGGCTCATCACTGGTGGGCAGGTGCCAGGGCCAGTGAGGATGTGTGCAAGGCCATTCCCATTTTCCTGCCCAGGGTCGAACATGTCCCTTCAAAGGGTCGGTACCACATGTGCACAAACCCCACTCACTTGTGGCTGCTGCTGCTGAGGGTCAGGTGTCCTGGGACTCCCAGTGAACACTGGGTTCCCCACAAGGCTGCTTTTTCTTTTGGAGGGGTCTTACTTGATAAGTCAAAAGTAAACCAAAGATGGAGACGGGCCAATTTTTTCTGTTTTTAATAAAGATTTATTTTCTCCAATTTGTTTCTTTATTGTAATCAAATAAATACTAGTATTCCTGGAACAGTTCATTAGTTTACAAGATGACTGAGTGCTCTCTCTGATTTCAAGCTAAGTATGCAAAGGGCTCTGTCAGCAGTCTGCTTGACCAGAGAACCAGAAGTGTGCGTTCTGGGTGGCACCAGTGTGCAGCAGCCAAAGAAGCAACACAGGATCTTCCTCAGCAACGCACAGACGAGAATTAACACATGTGCACACACCTGCACCAGCAGTGCCACAACCCCACCTTCAAAACCATGTGTCTGTTTAATAAGCTTGTGTTCTTACTAAGGGAGACACCAAAAGAGACTGAATTTCTCAGTCAGTAACAGATGTTTCTAATCTGTTCTATATATTAGGTTCCTTAAAAAATAAAACCTCTAGTGATTATTTTAAACCATTAAATTAAAAGTAAAACCATTAGAAGAGGCTATTTCAAAAACGATTACTAAGCCTTTAGCCTCACAACTCCTTCCCTGCAGTGACTCGGCAACTCACACGTACACATCCATGACCAGAAGGAAACTGTCTTACAGGCAAGAATATTTTCTCCTTGGATTCTGTTCACATCAGTGGGAACCTCCTAGAGGCAAGAAGTGTGACTGTTTCGAACTGTCAGGGTGGACAGGGCTGAAAGCCAGCACTGCCAGCCACTGACGGCTCCTCATATCCCACAGGGTGCCTGCTATTGGTGTGGAGCATACCTTGGAAGTTCACATGTTCCCTGAAAAGCACAGACCTGAACCACACTAAAGCTCTGTAAAATACACACCATGGCTTTTAACCACTGAAAAACAGAAGTAACTAACTTAAGTCATGAGTCAGGCACCATGATAGAACGGTTCCTGTGAATTACCATTTACCTCCTGCAGACCTGCATGAGAAAGACAAGTGTCTCTGCCTCTTCCCGCAGGACAGCACTGTGCCCGCAGAGCCCCAGGCAACAGCATCCCGTGTTACTACACCAACTCATGTGACAGCACAGGAAAAGGCCTGTTGGCCGACAGACACACAACCTACAGAGACGGTCACTACAGGCTCTGCCGACACAGAGTGGCTCACTAAGTGCAGCCAAGGCCAAAAGGCTGCAGGTGGCTATTTCTTAAATTATTCATTATAACCAAAGGGTTTTAAATTACTTTTGTGCCATTGTTTCCATATATTTGTAAAAGCTTTCTGTATAGAAGCATCTTTGGGCAATTTTTTACACAAATGAGCGGCAGTTTTAGTAATAAAATTTGGCATCCTGAGTACCTGTTTCCCAGCCATGCCTGGAAAACCCAGATCTGCTAATGGAACAGTCTCTGTGAAGTAGTGCATTCCTTTGAGGGGGGTGCAGGTAGACTCTGATGCAGCCCTCCAAGAGCCAGAAATTTCTTTGAAGTCACACACTGAATGTCAAAAACGGCACATGAAATTTTGACTCTTATGTCACAGTATCTTTGTTTAGATTGAAAACATGTTCCTTGCTTCCCCAGACATCAAAATAAAATCAGAACCCCACAAGACTTGGCCATGTGGAACAGCAATGTTCATAACAGGGTTTACAGGGAGCAACATGAGCAACAAAGCTGAGGCCATGTGACACTTAAACCTTTTCTAGACAGGAGGAGGAGGGGCAAGATGGCCGAAGAGTAGGGTCTCCAAATCACCTGTCCCCACCAAATCACCTAGATAACCTTCAAATTATCCTGAAAATCTACGAATTCGGCCTGAGATTTAAAGAGAGAAAAGCTGGAATGCTACAGTGAGAAGAGTTCGGCTTCTATCAAGGTAGGAAGACGGGGGGGGGGGGGGGGGGGGGGGGATATGATGATAATAAAGAAACAAAAGAACAAAAGGCATCCAAGGGGGAGGGGCCCTGCGAGGAGCCACGAGTGCCCCCAAGACAGGAGAGCTCCGACCCAGAGAAGCAGGAGCTGCACCAATCTTCCTGGGCGGAAAGGCCTCGCAGGGAGTTGGAGCAGGACCCCAGGAGGGCGGGGATGCCCTCAGGATCCCTGGGACAGTAACAGAGCAACTGTACCCCGGGGAGACTGCGCCGAGCTCCCTGAAGGGCTGCAGCCGAGCACGGCTGGACCGGGAGCAGCTCAGAGGAGCTCGGGCAGCGGCTCCGTGGAGGAGGCTGCGCAGCCCTGGAGCAGCTTGGAGGGGCTCCGGCAGAGGAAGAGGCTCCATGCATAGGGGGCTGCGCAGCTCCGGGAGCGCGAATCCCACAGCGCAGGGGCCTGCCTGGAGCACTGGGCACCGGGACACAGCCCAGGATCCGGTACCCCCCCCCCCCCCAGGCAGAGGCCAGGAGGGCCCAGGACCTCAAGGACTCTCCTGCCCAGAGCTGAGCAGATCAGCGGCCCCGCCCCGGAGCCTCCAGGACCTATAGACAGAGAGCTCCCTAGTTACTGTGGGGGCTGAATCCAGGTTTCCAGAGTTGGCCACTGCCACTGGGGTTGTTCCTCCTGGGGCCTAGCGGGGTAAACAACCCCCACTGAGCCCTGCACCAGGCTGGGGGCAGAGCACCTCCCCCAAGTGCTAACACCTGAAAATCAGCACAACAGGCCCTTCCCCCAGAAGACCAAATAGACAAGTTCCAGGGAAGTCAAGGGACTTAAAGTATACTGAATCAGAAGATACTCCCGTGTTTTTTTTTTTTTTTTTTTGCTTTTTGATTTGTTTGCTTCCCCCACCCTTTTTTTTCCACCTTTCTTTCTTTTCCTTTCTTTTTCTTCTCTTTTTTCCTTCTTTTTCTTTTTTCTTTTTCTCTTTTCTTTCCCCCCCCCCTCTCTCTTTTTCTCCTTTTCCCAATACAACTTGTTTTTGGCCACTCTGCACTGAGCAAAATGACTAGAAGGAAAACCTCACCTCAAAAGAAAGATTCAGAAACAGTCCTCTCTCCCACAGAGTTACAAAATCTGGATTATAATTCAATGTCAGAAAGCCAATTCAGAAGCACTATTATACAGGTACTGGTGGCTCTAGAAAAAAGCATAAAGGACTCAAGAGACTTCATGACTGCAGAATTTAGATCCAATCAGGCAGAAATTAAAAATCAATTGAATGAGATGCA